TGCTTGGTGAAACTGTTGTGTTTTTGAAATTTTCCCTCTATTTATTTATATTGCTCTTGTATAGTTGAAAAATCACCCTTGCTGGGCAGGTAGTGGCTGTGATCCTCCTCCAATTGGTGTGATCCTTCTACCATGCTGGCGGGCCCTAGGTCTGCTCTGCTGGTTGGTCAAAGGTCCGCCTACCCAGCAGGTGCAAGGGTCACCTCTGTCACTCCGCAGGTTGCTGGGCCTAACCTCCAGATGTGTCGCAGGTTTGCCTACCTTGCAGGTTCGGGGGGAGGGGGCGGCTCCTCCCCTCAGCAGGCCGCTGGACCTGTCCTGCTGGTGGGTCGCAGGTCCGTGTTCCCTGCAGGCGCGTGTGGCAGCTCTGTCACTCGGCAGGTTGCTGAGCCTGACCTGCCCTTTGTTTGCAGGTTCGCCTAGCTTGCAGGCACTGGGGGAGGGGCCGGCTCCGCCCCTCAGCAGGCTGCTGGGCCTGATCTGCCGGTGGTCACAGTCCCGCCTACCTTGCAGACACTGGGGGAGGGGACCTGTCCTACTGGTGGGTCGCAGGTCCGGGTTCCCTGCAGGCACGTGTAGCTGCTCTGTCACTCGGCAGGTTGCTCGACAAAATATTATTAAGCTAGGCCTCCTGAGGAGTGTGGAGGGGAGAAGAGCTCTGTCTTGGGGGTGTATCTACTTCCTTCTGTTCCCACTAGTTGACCCCAGTGAAACAAAGTGATCCATGAACACTGAGAGCAATCTGGAGCAGAAAAAGTGAGTGTAGAGGGGTGGCATGCAACCCAAGGGGAGTGTGAAGGGAGGAAAGTGGACCCCTAATTGCCTGCATCTGGCTGCTGCTGTCCCAATGGCCATAGGGAGTGCTGCAGTATCCAAATCCCATCCAGGTCCTTAGGAGTCTCACTGRGGCATGAAGCCTCTTCTCTCCCAGCTCTTCTACCTGGCCATCTCCCCATCACTGAGACTTCTCTGGAAGGGTAGCTCTCTCAGCAAGACCCCAGTTCCTGAAGTCTCTAGGCCCGATGCTGGGTGATAGGTCACTCAGGGGTTACTGGCCCCAGAACTGGGCACAGCTCTGGATGCTGTGCTCTTCCTATGAGACTCTTGAGTCAGACACAGCCTTGCTCCATGGTGTCTTCTGCTGGGAAGACTCAGCAGCCAGGTTTATTGCACCTGGGGAGCAGGCTCAAGGGGTGGAGATACCTAAAGATGCTGTAGCCAGCACCTCCTGACCATATTACTGCTCTGCTGGGCTATGAGGTCACTAAATGTTCTCCATTTTCTTTCAGGCCAAGGTTGACTAGATGGAGCATTGTGCTCCTTTTCTAAGGAAAAGAAGTTAGATTACTTGAAAAGAACATAAAAAGCTGGTGTGAGGAACATTGAAATGGAATCTACAGTGTTTGCAGCCATGTGTGGTCTGTGTGCTCTAAAAGGTAAACTTTTCATTAATACTGAGGGTCCCAATCTTTTCTACTAAAGCTATTCTCATTCTTCAGAAGAAGAAACAGGGGATCCAGCCATATATTATTTTGGGTTGAAAGGATGCCCTATAATTGTTTATAACTTATCTCAGAATGTTTTGTGAGTGCACAGGACATTAATCTGATTACGCATCTGAGGAAACACCTCAAGGGTCAAAAAAACAAGTTGCCCCAATGCATCAGCTCATTGGTGATAAAGCAGAAGTTTTGACAATAAGTTCAGACATTTTTTTTTAATCTTGGAGGTGGATGCTGTTTCCTATTACAATTGAATCTATTGAGACAGGATGCAAATAAGGTATTCCTAAAGTAATCCATCTATCATAATTTTAATTAGCATAGTCAGGGAAGGGTAGGAGAAGGTGACACTTTAGAAAATGTCATGTGGACCTCACATGGGAAGCACATTCTGGTAAACGTAAATCTAAGATCATAAGGAGSAGGCAGAGCATGCTGGAGGAACAAATTGGAGACCAGAGGGCCTGGAGGGGTGAGATCATGGAGATTGAGTGGTAGTGTTCACTATGAGTGACACTGGAGCCCCTGGAGGGCTTTGAATAGAGGAGTGAGCAGATCTGACCTGTATTTTAGAAGGATCACCCTGGCTSCTGAGATAAAGACATACCAGGACCCAGCACAGAGCAGGGGCAGGAATGAGAAGACTGATGCTCCAGGCTAGTGAGAGGTGACAGGTCAGGATGAAAGCTGTAGAGCAGGGAAGATGCAGTTAGGTTTTGGAAACATTTTGAAGATAAATCCAACAAGACGTGTTGATAATTTGATGCAAATTTTGGGAGAAAGGCAAGAACCAAGAATGTCCCCTAGGTTTATGACCTAAACACTAGGCTATAAACTATGGACAAGGTTACTATAATTGGGGAAAGAAAATTGAGGTGAAGATGTGGGAGTAGTGACATCTAAATGGAGGCCAAGTAAGCAGGGGTACCTGTGAATCTAATGTTCAGGTGAGGGGTTTGACTGGAGGAATAAAAGTACACGTTGACAGACAGCATGTAAGTGGCACTTAAAGCCATGCAATGGATGAGATGACAAGGAGAACAACTGCAGACACAGCTGAGAGGGTGAGTCTCTATTAGAACATTAGAAATTGGCTGGGGAGTGGCCATAATGTTGGCAGTACATTGAAAGCACATGAAAGAGAATACAACAAGAAAAAGAAAATGGACGCTGACCTCAAAGGACCAGTGATGCTTTATTAAGCAATAGAGAGGCATATTTTCAAGGGGAAAATGGTGACAGGCTCYAWCAAGAGTCTGTGATAGGCTCCAACAAAAGTCTAGGGTTTATCAGGGCCATTCATGGGAGGAGGTTTGGTGGTGGGCCATTTAGGATGGGGCAGGTGGGCAGGTAGGGGAACAGTTGTGTATAAGGGAAATTTGCTGGGGGCTATTATCTGTATATTTTATTCCAGACTCTGATAGGGGTATCATGAGTTGGGGTGAYATTATCATATATGGCTACTTCCTGCTGAGAAGGGGCAGAGTAGGATATCCTCCTGCCAGAGAGCTAGAAGAGGATAAGGAGGTGGGAGGTATGTTAGGCTCCTATACAGTCCTGGTGGTTGTGGCTTAAAGGGAGTGTAGAGGGAGGGAACTTTGACATTGTTGTGGGTGACTTCTTCATTATGGGGCTCAGGAGAATGACATTGTGAGTGAAGGAGGAGAATGGTTTCTGCATGTTGTGGGGAGGTGGTCTGGGCTAGACAGGTCACCTTATCAAGAAGTTGCTTCGGTGTTAACAAAGCAGGGGAAAAAGTTATTACAAGAAAAATGAGTGTTAACAGGTTAAGAGGGAAAGAAGCCAGGCTGTTCACTGTTTTAGGCATTGGCTTCTTCTCATCTCTGTTGTTCATACTGATCCTGTGGTTGTTTAACCTTGTCCCTTACCAGTCCTGATGGTTGACCTGGAAGCAAAATTCTTCCTCAAGGAAGAGGCAGAGGATACCTCATTCAGCAGTAATGAGATCTAGACCCTGATGATGATTCTGCATGACCACAGATGCCAGGGAATCCAGTTGAATTTGTAAAGTTAGTACCAAATCAGCAACCTGTTCGATGTCTTCAATAAACTGTACTGACAGTTTTTTTATAGTAGTAAATAGAAGTTCCTAATCCTGCTGCTCCTGTGCCAATCCTGGCAGATATCTCTAGCCTTATGAGTAAGGGAATAAACTGAAGGGCTCTCTTGTGTCTGGTGTGCACTTTTATCTGGATAGGCAAATTTTGGTTGTTAGGTAAAACATCAATTTGAGGAGTAAGGAAGACCAACATGCAGAGGCCAGTCTGAATTTTGGTAGGCAGGGGTAAATGTTAGCCTCATAAAGAAATTCCTCAGTGTTTTGAATGGCACCAGGGCTGTGGGGCTGACACAAGTGTATGTCTTAAGTTCTATTACAAAAGACCATCGTCTTTTCTTTTAAATGCTCAGGCATGGCTATACTTTGGTTATAACTATTTTTCCTAGGTGTTTAAGACCAAGCTGATCAAATTGACCTTGTTAAGATTCAGCTGAGTTCCCTCAGGGGGTCACTCTTGGGAACTTGTGAGTAGCCCCTTAGCTCCTTTAGTACCATCTGCCAGGTTGTGTCAGGGTCTCCTTGACCATGTGGCTTCCCTTGGAAGCATTAGCAAGGTCTCCCTTTTCTGATGACCCTCCTGTCTGCAGCATGTGCACTGGTTGGCTTTCTGTTCTCCAGAGTCTTATGGATCCCCTGATCAGGAGGTCACGTGGCTCAGAGTTGAAGAACCCTTAGAGAAGTTCCCTTGTTCTCTGGGTTCAAGTTGATTCAGAGGGCAAGAGCCAAATATTGGTTATTTTTTTTCTTTCTTGGCCTTTTTACTTTCTTAACTTTAATCTCCAAGCTTTATACTTAAACATCCAGCAAGCCAGTTTCAGCAATCTTAAAGTAAGAGRACTGGGTTTTAATTTTAATATCTATAACTTTACAGTCATTCAACCCTTTTATTTAATTGGGGTCAGTATTAGTACTGGAAGTTAGCCTTTCATCCTGTTTATCTATAGATGATGGCCTGATATCTCAAATTAACTAAGGTTGTTATATTGAAAGTTGTATTTCTGTAAGGCACTAATGGACAACAGTTAAAAGTTTACAAGGAAAATACAAAATGAAATTAACAAGAGTAAAAACATATTGAGTTTGTATAATAGCTAAGAACTAAGAAACATAATTTTTATAATCCCAAACCTTTACTTTAAACCTTAGTTTGAAGAAAAACAGCTCAGTAAAATGCTCATCTAACTCTTATACTTTATATACTTATGTACTTGGAATATATGAATACATTTAATATACAGAGGACAGTAATAGCAGCATAATTACACGGATGATTTTATATTGACCAAGTTTAGCTTTTAAAGAAAGATCCAGAATCTGTAATGTAATATAATACTGTAAAATAACAGTTGTTGTTTAGCTAGAATTTTACAAACCCTAATTCCTTTAAGGCCAGTTGCTCTAATGAATAAAACTTAACAAACATAAGCAATTATCTTGATAGGTAAGAGCAGATTAATATTTTATAAAATCTTTGTTACTTTAACCCATAGAGGATGACACAAGAAATTATCTTGATAGATAATAGCAGATTAATGTTTTTGTTACTTTAAACCATAGAGGATCAAACTTTGGTTTATATCAGTACATTAATAATTGACCTTAGGAAAAAGCCTTAAATGACTTTGTGCTAATTATACATAACTAACATAGTTACACAAACTTTTTGAAATTTACCCTCCACAAACCTTCTGCAACTTACTTAGACATTTTACAATGTTTTACTTTACCACACAAAGACTTTCTTATCCAGAAACATTAATTTTTCCTTCTACTTTCTGTATTAAAATATATTTTCATGCCTAGAACATTCTTGTATCTATTTCCTAGCYTGTTTACCCTTTTCTTAATTCACACTCTGAAACAACCCTTATGAAATWTCTAAATTTAGACAAATTATTCCACTTTAATAAGATGAAATACTTTGTTTTTATGGTACTTTAATTGAAGCCCAACTGGCTGAATCTTAATTCTTAGTAACCTTGTTTTCGGTGAAGAAGACAAAGCAATCTTAAACATTTTTCTATTTACCAATTTATGAAAACATACATAAAGTTTCAATATATCCCCTTATAGAATTTAAGAAGAGCACTTGATTTTATATTTAGCAGTTAGCACTTTAACTTTGTAAAGACTTGCATTACTAATTTTAAAGACATCTTTATTTTTATCTGTTTACCTAATTTAAATTGAACTTTTTAAGCCATGTGWACTCAAAGATATTTGGATCCATTTCTCATTTAAATTATAATTTCTGAGTGCTCATTTTTCTATAGCAATTTTGATACCATGTACATGATATGTGGACACAAGCATATATGTAGACAAATAATACAACACACAAGTGTGCATATATAGACACAATAGACAGGAGATAGAGATCTTGTAGCTGTTTRTTGTAAGACGAAATTTTCCCAATGTTATTTGAGAGCTTATCCTTGAAAATTGTCCTCTGGGCAAAATCCTCTATAGTTAGATAAAATAAGACTGATCAGAAAATATACATTAATTTAGGCATACAGGTTCAAATGTGAATTCACCATAAAATCATGAGCTCAAAAATATACAATTTAAAAAAATAAGAGATTTTAAAGAGAGAGAGGGAGAAAGAGACAGCTGTTATAAGATCAGGGTTCAGTTTTTGTCTCAGATTAGAATTAGTTTAGATATTGGAAAGATGAGAGAGCCCTGAAATCCGTAGATAAAGAGTCTCAAGATAAAGAAGACTTGACCATTTTATTTTGCTTCACTGTGTGGTCATGTTTAGGGGGAAACTTGTTAAGGAAGCATCATGGTAACAAGTGGCCTGGATTTAAAAGTGACACTTTYGGTTTTTTCTTCAGTTTCTACCTTTCCT